AGTAGCTGGAACTACAGGCGCGCACTACCACGCCCAGCTCATTTTGATTTATTGTAGAGAGGAGGTCTCACCAAGTTGCCTAGGCGGGTCTCAAACCCGCGAGCTCAGGCAATCCACTCACCTCAGCCTCCCAAAGACGCGGGATTCCAGGCTGAGCCACCGAGCCCGGCTAGGATTGTTATTTTAAATGGATGCCTACTTACCGTTTTTCACCATAAACACATAAGATCAGAAGCAGATGGTGCTGATTTCTAGGATTCCTTCTGTCTTTTTGCATTAGGTGGAATTGCATTGTGACAACCCATGGGCCCCCTCCCATGGCTGGCCATTCCTCCTGTGTGATTGATGATAAGATGATTGTCTTTGGTGGCTCTTTAGGATCCCGGCAAATGTAAGTATATTTGGTTTGCTCCACATTAACCTGAAGGAAAACATTCCTAGGAATGACAGGTCAGAACAGTGAATTAGTCAGTCATTATTCCTGACCGTAGTTCTGGTGAATCCAAGTAGTTATCTCACCCTCACATTCTGTTCTTCAATCCCCTAGTCACAGACCAGTAAGTCGAGAAATTTGTTCTGTAAAATCAAGGTTATGTGGAATCTCTTTGTTTGGCACACAGTCTGCTCAGTAGGATCCAGTTCTCACGGACCCTCTACCTTGTCTGCTGTGCATGCCCACGAACGCCAGCTTCCAAGAAGCAGAGAACTTTTCCTTGCTCTGCTGTGTTACCCAGTTCTTGCCTTAGAGACGGAGAAAGGGCGATTGACAGGACAAGTGGAAATCATGGGCTCCAAATGGAATGGTTTGATTGAGCCACGTGTAAAGAGCATGAAAGGAGGGAAAAGACAAAGGGATGGGTTGAGGATTGGATGGAAGCAAGAAAGCTGTGTCAGGTGTCTTCTGTAAGGTTGTTTTTCCTGTGTCCTCTCTGCCTCTGGCCAAAACTGGCCAGCTCAGGCCAGAGTCACGCGCCAGAGCATCCATCTGTATCACTATTTATCTGATTCAGCAGTAACAGCAATTGTATTCATTCCTCCTGTGCTCTGAAACGCAAGTTGATGAACTGTCAGCAATAAGACCATTCCAGTCTGAGCACTGTCCTCTCTTAGGGTGCCCTCCGTCATCATATTTTATTTTATTATTTATTTATTTATTTATTTTTGAGTTGGAGTCTCGCTCCATCGCCCAGGCTGGAGTGCAGTGGCACACTCACAGCCACCACAGCCTTGACCTTCTTGGGCTCCAGTGATCCTTCCACCTCAGCCTTCCAAGTAGCCGGAACTACAGGCGCATGCTACCATGCCTGGCTAATTTTTGATTTGTTGTAGAGACAAGGTCTCACCAAGTTGCCCAGGCTGGTCTTGAACTGGTCTTGAACCCACAGGCCCAGGCAATCTACTCACTTGGCCTCCCAAAGTGCAGGGATTACAGGGTGAGCCACCTAGCCCAGCCTCCATCATTATATTTTAAAACAGTTGTGGAGAGAGATTATAGGAGCTGCCTTCCAGGTGAGATGGTTTAGGATTTCAGTTAATAGAGCTTATTATTCCTGTATTCTTATATGTAAATAAATGACTTTAGAGAGGTGGTCATAAAAGAAAGACTGTATCCAAGAGTCTGTCATTGTCATGCTTGTCCCTGGAGAGTTGGGGATGCCAGTTTGTCCTTGATAAAACTGCAACTTTCATAAGCTATTGTGAAATTACATTTTGTAGCCAGAATCGATAAAGCTTTTAAATCCTGGATAATGATAAAGCTGCCTTTTGAATAATTTTTCCTCTTCCTGTGGTTTTTACTTTTGAAAGACTATAGTTTGACCAGGAACTATTTTCTGCTGTCACTAAGTTACCTTTTACTTCAAGTATGTGGCTACAGACATGACTCAGGTGAGGCCTTATGGGTCAGTTTTGGAAAGAGAAGTTTGACGATCTCAAAGTAACTGCTAGGGAAAGTAAAGGAAGAAAAATACAGTGTAAGTGCTGATGAGGAGCATGGTGCTTTGCTGGGCATTTTTTATAAAGGTCCCTTCGTTTATATCAGCTCTTCAGAGTAGTAGCCATATATTTACTTTTATAGATAAGGAAACCAGAGTTAGAAAATTAAGTGACTGGTTCAGGCTGCAGAGCTGGTGTTCAATAACGTGTTCTTTCTGGTTCTGAAATAGGACAGGTTGGGGATTGGATGGGAGCAAACTCTGAGTAGGCCGTCTCTGAAACCTCCTCCAGCCCAGGCAGCCCATGAAAGTGAAAATAGTGCAAGTTTACAAGCTGGGCACAGGCATGTGGAACTCACTGACCAATATTTTGGTCCCTGGGAGCTCCCAACTCCCTTCATCCTTCTGTCCTTCTCTCACAGGAGCAATGATGTCTGGGTCCTTGACCTCGAGCAGTGGGCGTGGTCCAAGCCGAACATCTCCGGCCCCAGTCCTCATCCTCGAGGTGGCCAATCTCAGGTGCTCAGGAATTAAAATAACCATTCAGCAAACACTATAGCATCTTTCAGTTAGGATGGGAGAGGGAGGAGGGCGTCAGGTAAGATGCCAATGCACTAAACCAAAGAAAATGTATTATTATTTTTTTTTGCTAGTGTTTATTTTTCAGCTTCTAATGGGTTCTGTTATTTATAGTGGCTTTATATTCTCCTTCCCAAAGCATTTATTTTGCTGTTTCTTTTGTCAAGAGAGCCCTGCATTTTATGTGTTTGACACTCATGTTAATAATATTTGAACAACAAAGAATGTGTCCTTTTAGGTGAATTGCCAGTAATTTGTTCATAGGGATCAGAATTGACATGCTTTTGGGAGAATGGAAAGCTTATGATAACTAGAACACTCATTTGGGAGCTAGGTAGTCTGTTTTCATGTACCATTGAAGCATAGGAAGTCAGATACCTGTGTCATTGTAGGTTTATTTTAAATTTCTTCCCCTCTCCAGATTGTCATAGATGATGTAACTATCTTAATCCTCGGAGGGTGTGGCGGTCCCAATGCTGTGAGTATTGCTTGTGTGGCATCCCTGTATGCATTGCTGCTAAGTATTCAAAACTTGCTTCCTGTCTTATTGTGTAGACGTATACAAGACTATTTTCATGGCATTTTAATTTAGGTAATGCCTTTTCCACCTTGGGTGTATAGCTTTCATATCTTCTGACTTTTTTCCTGCTCTTTTTTAGAGCTGTGTGATGCTTTTATTCAGAGACATTTATCTCTTTAATATTCATAGCTGTATTCTTCCTCTTCCAATTTCCTCTTTAGGCTATAAGGTTTGCTGCTATTATTTTTTTTAAGGGGAAAGGGCACAAAAGCAGATTAATAATTGCCAGAGTTCACATGGAACTTATTTAAGAATGCAGATTCACAAAGTTATGGATATTTGTTTGTTACCCTCTCTCTCAACCCCTAGTACACACACAAACACACACACACACATACACACACAAGTCAAAACCACTTACAGTTGACTCATGGGTCACAAGAGCAATTTTGTGTGCCAGACCACTGTTACTATATAGATGAAAGCATAAATGCATGCATAACTAAGTAATTACCTGAGGATTTTAAGGTATTCTTTCTGAAGAGCTCACACACTTTTGAGACCAGACACTACAGCTTTTTGTGTGTGTGCATGTTGGAACATGTCCTGAGTTCTGTTGTTGGTTCTTCTCTTCCAGCTGTTCAAGGATGCTTGGTTGTTGCATATGCATTCTGGTCCCTGGGCCTGGCAGCCACTCAAGGTGGAACATGAAGAGCATGGGGCCCCAGAACTGTGGTGTCACCCAGCCTGCCGGGTAAGAAGGGATTAGACACAGGCCAGCAGGAGGAGAGGGCCTAACTGGAAAACCACACTAATTTGTCAGATTTCATTTATTTATTTATTTTTTTGAGTTGGAGTCTCACTCTGTTGCCCAGACTGGAGTGCAGTGGCCGCTCCCGGCCACCGCAGTCTCAACCTGCTGGGCTCTGGCCATCCTTCCGCCTCAGCCTTCCAAGTAGCTGGAATTACAGGCACACACTACCACACCCGGCTGATTTTTGATTTATTGTAGAGATGAGGTCTCGCCAAGTTACCCAGGCGGGTCCTGAACCCGCAGGCTCAGGCAATCCACTCACCTTGGCCTCCCAAAGTGCGGGATTACAGGCTGAGCCAGATTTCAAAGGAAATTTGTGTAAAAATAGAACACACCTTGATGTCACAACAGAGGCAGACATTAACCATAGCTTCTTTGGTATATCTCACTAGGTGGGAAAACTTATGTGGGCAAGCCCCAAGTTTAAGCATCTCTGTTATGAAACTTGTCCCACAGTCCCTCAAACAAAAAGTGATTCTTCTCTTCACTGCTATTCTGTAGAGATAACTTTAATGATTGTACATCGTTAAACACTAAAGCAACAATTGTTCCCATGTCTGTCTCCCCTTCTGTCCTAAAGAGCAGACTACATCATTTTGATTTCCATATCTCAGGCACCTACAAAATGCTTGGCACATTCCAGATGCTTGTGATAAGATGTTTGACAGTTGAATTAACGATCAGAATTGTAGAAGAGTCTGTGAGCACAGATCCTTTGTCTTCTAGGTGGGACAGTGTGTGGTGGTCTTCAGTCAGGCTCCTAGTGGGAGAGCACCACTCAGCCCCAGCCTGAACTCTCGCCCGTCACCTATCAGTGCCACTCCTCCAGCTCTGGTTCCCGAAACCCGAGAGTACCGCTCTCAGTCTCCAGTAAGAAGTATGGATGAAGCTCCGTGTGTTAACGGCCGCTGGGGAACACTGAGGCCCAGGGCTCAAAGGCAGACTCCCTCAGGTTCCCGGGAAGGGAGCCTTTCCCCAGCCAGAGGAGATGGTTCTCCTATCCTCAATGGTGGGAGTTTATCTCCAGGAACAGCAGTTGTTGGTGGCTCTTCCTTGGACAGCCCTGTACAGGCCATATCTCCAAGCACTCCATCTGCTGCTGAAGGGTATGACCTCAAAATGGGACTTTCTTTGGCCCCCCGGCGAGGGTCACTGCCAGATCAGAAAGATTTGAGATTGGGATCTATAGATCTGAATTGGGATCTAAAACCTCCTTCCAGCAATCATATGGACGGCATGGACAACAGGACAGTCGGAGGAAGTATGAGGCACCCCCCTGAACAGACGAATGGTGTGCATACCCCGCCGCATGTAGCCAGTGCCCTTGCAGGGGCCGTCTCCCCAGGTGCCCTACGTCGGAGTCTGGAAGCCATCAAGGCGATGTCATCCAAAGTCCCCTCAGCCTCTGCAGCACTAAGTCCTCCTCTTGGGTCTTCTCCAGGCTCCCCTGGGAGCCAGAGCCTGAGCAGTGCAGAAACAGTGCCCATCCCCCGCCCAGGGCCTGCCCAAGGAGATGGACACTCCTTACCTCCCATTGCCCGCCGCCTGGGCCACCACCCTCCACAGTCCCTAAATGTTGGCAAACCTCTGTACCAGAGTATGAACTGCAAGCCCATGCAGATGTATGTGCTGGACATTAAAGACACCAAGGAAAAGGGGCGGGTCAAGTGGAAAGTATTTAATAGCAGTTCTGTGGTGGGACCTCCTGAAACCAGCCTGCATACAGTGGTACAAGGCAGGGGTGAACTCATCATATTCGGAGGACTCATGGACAAGAAACAGAATGTGAAGTACTATCCAAAAACAAACGCCTTGTACTTTGTGCGAGCAAAGAGATAGTGTGTTCTAAACCCCTTTCCCTTTCTGTGGCTTTTAATTTGAAATTTTCCAGTGTGCAAGCATTTGGACTGAGAATTGAGTAAACAGCAAAATAACTCCCATAAACCAAAACTCTAATTCCCAACCTAACTCACTGCAGGCTGGGACCAAATCTCCATTAAGAAAAATAATTATATATAAATATATATATATATATTATATAGCCAACTCTGTTTACAAAAAGGGAGAGATCTCCGTCCTGGCTCAGATAAAGTTGTTGCTGTGTTTTAGCAGAGGCTGTGCTGCCTTTTTCTACTTTGCTGGTAACTAGACCAAGAAGTTAGAGAACAGACTGATTAATAATCAGTCATTTTCCAAAAGAAACTGAAGAGCCCCCTGTAAATCTTTGTGTGGCCTTCTCGGAGTTGGAAAATGAAGGGCATATGTAAGATACAAAGGAGGAGGTTTGTAGACTTGTGCTTCAGGTGTTGGCAGGGTAAAAGAGACTTATAGGAAACCGTTCTTCCCCTTCTCTTAAAACCACAGAGGACCCGTGACAGCTCTTCAGAGATACCCTGTGCCTGGCTCCCTTCTGCCCTTTATGGCTGAGGAAAGTTATCCAGAAAGGAATTTTGTTCCATGTTTGTATGCCAGGTCACCGTGAGATAATATTTATGCAGCGGACATTGACATTTGTCCACCTAGTGTCCATTGGTCTTTTGAGTGCTCCCTTCATGTCTCAAAAAATATTTTGGTGTCTGATTGTGGAATTTTCTGACAATCAATTGTATTTGGTTACAAGTTGCCAAAAACCATGTTTGTTCTCCTTTTCCCTTAGAACATGATCCTCAGAAGTTGCCTTTTCCATTTATAGGCTGCTTTTTTCTTTTCTTTCTTTTTTTTTTTTGCATCTGTGAATTTTTTTAAGCACTAAAACCCTTCTCATTTTTTGTTTCTTTTACAAAGTTCAGATGCCTAGAGAGATCAGATGCTTCTTAGAAATACTGCTCGAACTCTCCCTGGTATCACTAGGGGGCCGTATCACTAGGGGGAATTCTAAGATGCCAGTATTGTCAGAAATGCTTGAAGCATCAAAAGATACTGTTCTTTCCCCCATGGGCTTCTTTTATTTCCAAAGCACATTGGGCACACCCATTCTGTGTTTGTAGAATGCTGAAATTGATCCTGGAAGGGAATCCTGGTAATAGTTCTTTTTAGAAATGGTTTTTTTCCTTGTCGTAACATGTATTCCTCTTCCTGGCTATTGACAGATGATGGCCTTGAGTATCATGTACTTAACCTTCATGATGCATGACTGACCTCAGGAACAGCTCCATCCTTTGTGCTTGTCTTGCTAATGTGTCACCCCAGCTTCTACTTACTTGTACTTCATTTCTGAGACTAAGGTGCAACCAAGTAGAGCACTTCTCTGGTTGATACAGAAAGCTACAAGTTACTAGTTTTAGAACCGTGGTCTGGATAGACATAGAAGATGGCAAAATAAGCTTAATTCAAATGGCACCACTTAAATATGGATTTCTGGTGATTTTCTCATCAGTGGAAAGAGGATTTTTTGTTTTGCCATGGGATTTAAATTTCAGAACACCATATTTCCCGCCCTGCACCCTGTTTTTCTTGTTAGTGCTTCCCAAGTACAAGCCTGCTGCAGCTGGCCCTGGGTCTGGCTTTCAGCCAGCGCTCAGCAGCCCGGTCTTAGGTGTGTTTTCTCCCGCTACATCATGCTGAATCCTCCCCCTAACCATTAGCTTTTACAATGGGATGTTGGTAGGAAAAGCCCCTGGTGCCCAGCCCAGGGAAGGGCCAACTCATAAGGAAGGGTATGTGTTCCAGAAACTGCTGTCCATGCTCCCTTAGGTGAGGAAATGACCATGTGCCTGATCACTGTGGTGTCCAACTCGACTGTCGAAGCTCGACACTTTACTTTCCTGACTCTGAGGCTCTGGGGCTGTTGCCAGTCCTTGCTTGGCAAAGACTCTTCAATCATGAGGGCTACTTATTTACAAGGGAAAACTAGCTCAGAAAGTTAATCAATGTAGGCATTGTTGCTATTGCTGAACCTTGTTTATGACATTGCACGTGTGCATGGACAGTGCCTCCAAACTCAGTTCCTATCTAAATATGAAGTATTTGGACGCCTGGAAGTTCAGAATCTCCACTTTGTAGTCTTTCTCTTTGTCCTGTGGCCTTCCTAAGCCAGCTGTTAACCTGACTCTCCACTTCCCCCAAGTAGGCAGGCAACAGAGAAAGTAATCTGGTTCCTCTGAACTCCATTTTATTCCAGTATGACCCACATTGCTTGGAACTCTGCTTGCAGCTCTTTCAGAAGAATCTGCCTGGCCTTGGTGGCTGCTGGGCACTGTGGGCATGTATGTTGGGAAAGTGACTCCACACAGTCGAGGTGATTGTCTCTTCAGGCCCCCTGAAGCCACGTGTGCAGTGGAACCTCACGTGTCTCACTGAGGAGCACATTTCCACAGCACCATGGATGCTTCCGTCAGATCAGATTTAACCACAACTCCATTTTGACATGATACCAGTTTTGTCTTAAAATTCACTGAGAAAAATAAGACAAATATTTTTTTTAAACCCTCAGGAGCAAATATTTATCAGTATTTAAGTATTTGACATACATTTTGTTTCTACTTGAAGCTTTAACCCCTTCCATTCCTGCAAGTGTGCCTTTGAGATCTCCCATGTCCTAGTGACTTCACCGGCCACCTTGTTGACCTCATGTAAGAATTTGAGTCTCTTCCTACCCTCTTGGACAGAGCTTCCTGCTCTCTCATTTTACAGATTATGCAGCAGAGAGGGTTCTGTGTTTTCATTCATACTTCCACCCTTCTACACTTTGGTGGTGGACTCACTACCCCACCCCTGCATTTTGGGAGTACAACTTGGGTGTTGAAACAACCTTGAATTTCACTTTAAGGCAATACTGGGCTTACTCTCCTCCCAGCCCTCTGTGGATTGATTTGATTTTGACGTTTGACTATTAAAGCAAGAGCCGAAACCATGAACTATTCTAGAAACTGTGTTGGAGCTCTTTAAAGGAAAGAGGAGGAGGAAGAAAGAAAACTAAGTTAAGAAGTTTTGACTTTGGAGGACAGAAAGCCACCAGCCCATGGAGAACAAAGGGATGTTTCCCTTTCCTTTCACCTTGTCGCTCTGGGTTTCCTTCTGCTTTGCTTGTTTCCTTCCCTTAAAAGTGATATTCCTGGTTGGTCTGTCTGTCTGTCCTTGTCCTGTGGTGATCCTGGCATGGTGATATGCTCTGCTTGCATTATCCGTGGTCTCTTACCAGCGCACAAATCAGTGGGGAGGATCTGAACACACCCAGGGGCAAGGAAGTTGAACTTCAAGGTCTGCGGCCCGTGCAGCCTCCCTGTGAACTGCAGAAGGCATGTTCTGCATGGTTACCAGTAAGTGGCTCCCTTTCACCAAGTTAATCGTCAGTGAGAGCACACCGTAGGCATTGGCTCTGATGTTCTCTCTACTCGCTCTGCTCCCCTCCCTCCAACCAGGGTTCATGTCAGTGCACACCCCTTGTGCCCTGGCAAAGCTGGTGCTGTGAGTGATGTTTTCCATACAACTCAGGGATGCCAGGTGGCTTGCCCTGAGATTGTTATTTTAGGCACATAACAGTGTAGGAATGAAAACAGATTTCATTGATATTCAAATCTCTGTCACAATTTCATTTTTTGTTAATGTTTTCCCCTGATGACTTTTTAGCAATTTAACAAATAAAATAAAATGGACAGTTGTCTTAGCTGTTTCATTAGTTTAAAAAAAAAGAAAAAAAAATTTGCCATGATGGGAAGCAGCTGAGGTTGGAGATTGACGACAGAAGCAAAGTAGTTGGAAAGCGACTTTGAGGGTTGTGTTTTCGGGGCAAGGTGGAGAGTTGCCCTTCCCTGGGGACGATGCTGTTTAATAATAAAGCGGCTCTCCATCATAGCTTGAAGGGCCTGGTGTCTTAGAGCCTCAGTGCCAAGCTGCGACGGAGACCCAAGGGAGCGATGAGCTTGGAGCAGGAGCCCAGGGCCAAGACAGCATCTGCATCATCACTGACCTCCTAAGCAAAGATGAGGACACAGGGCCTCCAGGTCGTGGTGCGGCATAGCACATGGTGGCTGAACTCAGGCCTGAATCCTGCCTTTCCTTGCTTACCACTTAAGCTTAGATACAGGGTTCCTCCTCTGTAAATCTAGTTGTTCCTGCCTTATAGGATGTGAGGATTACTTGAAGCTATGTGTGGAAAACACTAGCACAGTGCCTGGCATAGAAGTTGGCATCACTGCCTTCCAGTGGGGGATCCTAAAGGGCCAGGGACCTATACACATTACAGGACCTCACCAGGAAAGGGGAGGCCTGACCCGTGTCTCTACCCTGACAGAGCTCCTCAGCCTAAGGCTTTGCCCCACCTTGCCCTCTGTGGAACCCAAGAAAGGTTCCTGGAAGTGATGGGCTTTGAGAAACCTCAGGTTTAGGTGGGATGGGAGGCGTCACCAAAGTTTTGTCTGTCAGAATCCCATGGGCTGGCCTGTGCGTAGCACTGCCACACAGGACTGGGGCTCTCCAGGCTTCTCTGCCTTTTCGCCTCGCCCAGGTGAAGGAGAGCTTTCCAGCCCGGGTCTGCCTCCTGGTCTCAAATGCCGTGTGGTGATGATTTCACCATTGCTGAAAGTGTTCAGAAACTGATTCTTGCTTGGGAAGAGAGGACAGCTGATTTATGCATCAGACCAAGAATGGGACCAGATAGCCCCGTCATGCTTTTTAAGCTCATGAGACATGGAAGGAACTTGGAAGCAAGACATCAGGACAGAGATAGACCCACATTCAAACGCTGGTTCTGTCGCTTTGAACGGGGGCAAGTTATCCTGCCCCTTGGAGCCTCAGTTTTATCAGTAAAACGGGCAATGATGCCAGCCTCACAGCTTAGTAATTTAATGCATGTGATTCCTCAAAAGGCCACATGGAGGCACCCCTGTGAGAGGCTTCGCATCTGCCTGGGCTCTTGAGAAGGAGGCGGCTAGGCAGAAGGAGGAAAGTGCTCACCTCTCCCTCCCTCTGCCAGCAAAACTGGGTAGCACCTCTCCCTGCTCTGTCTTGCTTCTGAGCACCATCCCCAGCCTGGCCCACCTGCCTTCCCTGCCCAAGCCCCCAGCTGTGGGAAAGTCAGGGTCTTCCCATGGGGCTGGGCTCTGGGCCCAGACCCTGTCAGCGAGCACAAAGCCAGCTAATGTCTTAAGTAAATGCCTAAAGGTTGTAGCGGAATGTGTTATGCACCCACCAAAGAGCCTGCCTGCCCACCCACTGCAGGGAAGAGGAAGACTGTCCTAGCAGAAGCCTAGGAGGTGGTTGGAAACACCTACCAGTGGATGTGGGCCATGGCCCCTTGGCAAGACCACGAGAACCTGGAACTGACTTGGGGATGATTCATTCTTGGCAAGCATTCCCTGAGCATCCATGACCCCTGAGACACTGGGACATATGAGTGACACAAAAGAGGCCCACCCTGGGAGGAACTCGATCTAATAACAAACCAGGGAAGTGTCACGCTGGCTGAACAAAGATGAAACATCCTGAACTGCTGAGGTCAAAAGGCAATCCAGGGATCGCTGAAAAGGTGTGGAAGGAGATGGAGTTGGCAGGACAGCTGTTCAGGAAGCCAGAGCGCTAAGAAGGTAATCTTGCCTTGGTGTCTGGCTCATTTGTGCTGCTGCATACCACAGATATACCACGGACTGCATAGTTTATAAACAGCAGACATTTATTTCTTACCGTCTTGAAGGCTGGGAGTGCAAGATTAAGGTGCCAGAGGGCTGGTGTCCGGGAGGGCCCAGTCTCCGCTTCCCAGACGGCGCCCTGGAATGCTGTGACCTCATGGTGGAAAAGGGAACCTGCTCTCTCAAGCCTTTTTCTAAGAAAGTTTGTCTCATTCATGAGGGTTATGCCCTCAACTTAATCACCTCCTCAGAGCCCACCTCTAATACTGGCACGTTGGCGACTGAATTTCAACACATGAATTTGAGGGGACAAATTAAACCATAGCACTTGGCCTCACCTGCTAAACTGGCAGGGGTCAGATGAGGACAGAGCCTTTCTGGGACTTCCCAGATGGGTGGGGTCCACACCTTGCCTCCAGCGGTCAGTAATGCAGGATGTTGATAAGCCGGCAGGCCTCAGCAGCCCATGGTTGGGGCTGGGGACAATACAGAGTGACCTGTGGATTTGGTGACAAGAGGTCATCTCCTTAGATGAAGCAGGGAAAGAGGCTTCTGCCTAGATTCCACGGTGGAGGAGAGAACACTTTAGAGACCAACACAGATGGGCCCACAGCAGAGGAACAGAAGACAGTGCTCTCTGGAGCAGAAGTCCACAAGAGATGGCATCCAAGGAGTAGGGGCACTCCCCGGCCATGCTTCCCTCACACTTGGATGAGCCTCCTCCAGCACTGAGTGTGCACCCAGGGCTAGAGGAGGTTTCAGGTGCCTCTGCCTCTCCGTGCTGCCATCGCCTGGGTGGCATCTAAGGCCTCTGCTGTCTGTCCATGCCATTGCGTCAGGCTTGGTTTCTCTACCGCTGGTGACATCCGACTGCCAAGGCCCCTCTCCTACGTTTTACATCCCAACACTGGCTGTGAGCGTGTCCTCTCTGTGCAGCCCTCCACCAGCCCTCACTCCCCCCAGGGCTCCTCCTCTGACCCTCTGGCCTGCTCTTCCTCCTGTGCCTTCCCTCCTGGTTAGGGGCACCACCACCTCAGTCACCTGGGAGTCACCCAGTGTCAGATGATCTGAGGACTGAGAATTGGCCAGTGAGCGTAGCAGCAAGGTCATTGCCCTCCATCTGAGTTGGTTAATAGACTCTGGCTGCATGAGCTGGACAAAAGTGTGAGCCTGGCAGAAGGACCAGTGAGGAGGCAGAGCAGCCTCCCAGGCCTGAGCAGATGAGGGCGTGTATTTGGCAGCTATATGTGAGTGCTTTCTGGGCCAAAGCTTGACGAGGGAGGAGGTGGATGTTACTCTAGGTGCAAGGGAGGGGGAGAAGGGTGGTCTTAAGCCAGGTGTCCTATCCCCACCTCAGGATCCTCGGACAGGGCTTTGCATGCCTTATTCTCACCTGCCCTCACCCAGCTCAGGCTGTGTGTCTGCCCATGTGGGCCTCCCATCCCCTCCGTCACATTGGTGACTAAGACCCTGCCTTTAGGAATCCTCTCAAGACTTCTGGGGGCCTTGTCCAAGAAGTGTCAGTAAATATTTGTGGGGAGACCAAATCAAGAAGAAACGAGTGAATTAAGCAGAGGGCTCCACACTAGAAGGTCCCTTGGGGAAATGGTCTTCGTGTTTTCTGGAGGCCCTAAAAGGAGAAGCATCTTGCTTAGTGGGATACACAGTACAGTGGTCAGACAGGCCCAAGAAAGCAGGACTCACTCAACCACGATGGTCCACAAGCATCCTGAAACGCAGTCCTGACCGTGTCACTCCCAGGCCCCAGCAGTGGACTGGTTTCCTGTCCCCCGCAGCAGTATTTAAGAGAGGTATGTGGACCCTGTTATGGACTGAACTGTGCCCCCAAATCCATATGTTGAAGCCCTACCCCTCAATATGACTGTTTGGAGACAGACCTCCAGGAGGTCACGGAAGTTAAATGAGACCATAAGGATGAGGCCCTAATCCTATAGGACTGGTGTCCTTAGAGCAAGAGAAGAAACACCGGGAGTGTGCACGCGTAGAGAAGCCATCTGCAAGATGGAAGAGAGGCCTCAGCAGAAAACACCTCTGCTAGCACCATGATCTTGGACTCCAGCCTCTTGAACTGTGAGGAAATAAATGTCTGTTGTTTGGGGTACCAAGTCTGGCTGGATGTGAAGTCTGGAAGCCCAGAGATAATTCAGATCCAAGCCCTGCCACTGAGGCACTCTTGGCCAGAGGAGCGAGCTCTGCACAGCTGTAAATAACCCTGATGCTGGGCAGATGTGGCAAACACTGCCAGGAGGGGAGCCATGAGACCTGGGAACATGGGCGAGGGTTTGGAGTTGCAAAATCCTGCAGGAATGGTTCTTCATCTTGCATCCGTGCCTTGCTGCGGTGTAAGCAAATCAAAGGAAAGCACCCAGTCTTTTTTTTTTGAGTTGGAGTCTCACTCTGTCACCCAGACTGGAGTGCAGTGGCCGCTCCCGGCCACCGCAGCCTCAACCTGCTGGGCTCCAGCAATCCTTCCGCCTCAGCCTTCCAAGTAGCTGGAACTACAGGTGCGCGCTACCACGTCCGGCTAATTTTTGATGTATTGTAGAGATGAGGTCTCGCCAAGTTGCCCAGGCGGGTCTCGAACCTGTGGGCTCAGGCAATCCACTCACCTCAGCCTCCCAAAAGCACAGGATTACAGGCTGAGCCACCGAGGCCGGCTAGCACCCAGTCTTACATGTCCTCTTCCTCATCCCGACCCCACTCCCCTTGTACATAATAATAAAAAAATCTGTGGGGTTGTGGCCCTCTGGCTGCTTTCTACTTTACTAGGATCAGCCCTAGTGGCTGGGAGCAAAGTCTTGAAAACACAAAATGATCTGGCAGATCAGATAACTAAAAGTCAGGTAATCCTGAGCTCTGGGTCTAGTTTTCCCACTGACTGGGTATGTGGTGTGAGACAGGTCACGTCTCCCAGCATCTTCATCTGTCTAAGAAAAGAAGGATAATACTATTTACACAGGTTTCTTTGTAGAATTAAATAAGGTAACCTCTGTCAAGCCCCCACTGCCTGGCACTTAAATGACTTTTGATAAAGGTTATTTCAAGGGTTATTCCTTACAAGTGATTTGCCCTGCTTGAAGGCATTCCAAGAAGACAGTGGTAGAAATTAAATGTGATAGACAGCCTGTCAGTGATAACCCACCTGCACCCTGTCCAACTGATAGGCACTTACTGAGCACCCACTTTCTGAGTAGCCGTCCCAGTGCCCATTGTTGGGACGGTGGAGAGGAGTTCACAGTCTCAGAGCTGGAAAGTCAGCCCCAGGAGGGCAGGGGCTTCATGCTTGCCATTGTATTCCCAGCACCTATAGTGGACTGGGCACATAGTGGGTGCTCAGTATTTGTTGAATGGATAAATCAATAAATGAATAACTGCAAGCTACATTCCAGGGGGCCTCTGACTCATTTTTAAGAAGTTGAGCAAGTCCCTTGACCTCTCTGAGCTGCTGTGTCCCCATCTGTGAAGCCAGAGATGTTTAAATTATTTCAAGGTCCTACTGAGCAGAATTAATAGGGCAGTAGGGGGCCAGGCACAGTGGCTCACGCCTGTAATTCCAACACTTTGGGAGGCCATGTGGGAGAATAGCTTGAGTCCAGGAGTTCAAGACCAGCCTCGGCAACATAAGCGAGACCTTTTCTCTACAAAAAATAAATTAAAATTAAAATTAAAAAATTAGCCTAGGCCGGGCTTGGTGGCTCAGTTTGTAATCCCAGCACTCTGGGAGGCCAAGGTGAGTGGATTGTCTGAGCCCGCGGGTTTGAAACCCACCCTGGCAACTTGGTGAGACCTCATCTCTTCAATTAATTAAAAAAAAAAAAATGGCCGGACTCGGTGTCTCAGGCTGTAATCTAAACACTTTGGGAGGCCGAGGCGAGCGAATTGCCTGAGCCTGCGGGTTCGAGACCCACCCGGGCAACTTGGCAAGACCTCCTCTCTACAATAAATCAAAAAAATTAGCCGGCCGTGGTAGCACATGCCTGTAGTTCCAGCTCCTTGGAAGGCTGAGGCAGAAGGATCGCCTGAGCCCTGCAGGTCGAGGCTGCGGTGGCCGGGAGCGGCCACTGCACTC